TTATTGAAAGGTCCTCACAACTACAGAGAGACAAGTGTGTCTATGTGTGTGTGTGTTTGTTATATGTATAGTTGCTGCAGCTGCGCACACAATGATGCACTATGCTGAGTCATAACAAATGAGCCATATGTTCTCATCTTTGTGTTTTACATAATTAAGGACCGTCGGTCTCAGCTTAAGACTTGTCTTTGCTTGGTAATGAAAATATAGCAGAAGTCCTCCGCTCCATTATCCTCAGAGTCTCGTCCCACAGAGAGGACTAGATCTGCAGAAAAGACCTCAGAATGAGCTGCTTCAGATCATATCAAATCATCATAATGACCAAACAAAACCTCCGTCGTCCCTTTGTCCGCTGAGATCTTACGCTCATTATGATCCATTAAAGGGTGAGAATAAACTATGCATAACACATACTCTATTGAATGCATTATCCCTTATATAGCCCGCACAAGACAGCTATTATGCCCCTATTTGATTGAATAGCAGCTTTCGGTCTATGTGTCTTTTCAGAGGAGGATTTGGAGCCCTTAATCCACCAGGCAAAGTTTTTTTTTCTGTTTTTCCACCATCTGGAGTTTGTCGCTTTTGAAGACAAAAACACCAGGCGGTGTGAAACCAGGCTGGAGCTGCTGCTTGATGCCAGGAGAGTTTTTTTCCCTTCTCGCTTGTGGTTTCCTGATTTAAATCAGAGGTCAGTGATACAGTCCTGCAGTGTAAGAAGTGGTGAGTGCGGGGGTGCAAGGATTGGACTCTAGGCTGCATTGTGTCACTGTGACTCCCCCATGGACTCCACTTGATCTCCATTTCAACACAGAATAACAAACAACCACATGACAAATACAGTGATGGTGATGATGGAGCTACAGTGGCCACCAGGGAGCAGCAGAGTGTGTACTGTAACGTGAAACTTTAAACATGACGAATGCCGGGTTTGAAAGCAATTCCTATTTTGGAAAATTTGGTTTCAACTACTTCCCCATGAAAGCCAGAAAAATGTGTAATTTTCTGTTTTACCATAATTATTGTTTAGGTGGAGTAATTAGATGTTATGCAGAAACCTAAATAGCCCTCTGGGAACCAGGGACGCTGTGTGTACACTTGGAGAAAATGTGTTAAAGATCATGTATCGTCAACGTTGCTCACACAAGTCAATCATTTCCATCCGCCCTTGATTCAATTAACTTTACTCAGAAACATGTGGATCATTTGGAACCCCTGATCATTTTCCCCTTTGCCTTTTCCCTTCTTCTCTTTGGGGTGGGTTATGGAGTCAGATTCCAATCCTCTGACATTAAAAAGGGGAAATAAATGACAAAGGGGCCCTGCAGGTTTGCATTAGAGACCTAATTGGTTTTGGCTTGAATGGGCTGGTAGTGTTGCCAGACTTGGGCCCTTTTGTGTTTTGCCATGTGGGAGAGTTTGCCTGTGCTGGAGGTGGAGAGAGGTGCCTGAAGTCTCTGAGTCTCCACTACACAGGCTACATCCACATTACTTCGTTTTTGTTGGGAAACAAGTCAAGTCTGCAAAGGACACACCTTGAGTCCCCACTACTACAGAGTTTTAGAACTGCTAGAACAGGGGAGTTTAAAAATGCTGTTGACAAGCAGAAACTGAGCTGTTTGGAAACAGTGGCTGTGTAGGAAATCGTTCACGAATCAATTTAGAGTAAGCCATTTTGTCCTGTGTCCGAATGTTTAGTGAAATCGTTATTCCCTGTATAGTCCACTCATATGAATTATGGGAAACAATACACATATACAGTATATACCATGATGCATTGCAATCACGGCAGGGAAACGAGGGCAGCAGGAACAGCCCGACCAGTCAGACAAATGTAAATACAAGCAAAAAACAAGTTTACTCCAACATTTAAAGATGACCATTCAACATGTGTTTAAGGTGTTTATAGTAAGTGTAAAATAAACATTTGAAATGTATTGTGGGATTTTCCACTGGCCGACATTGTTGTTGTTGTTGTACGTCATAATCCTGCGACATTGACGTCAGTACTGGCGCAGAGAAAATGCGCAGAGTAGTTTTTTCTGATGAGCTCATATAGTGCTCTGTATAACACCCTTTAGAGTGAGGCAGGGGTTCGTGAATGAGTGGGTGATTCACCTAATTATTTACACACTCTCAACCGCTTACTGATTTGGTCTTTTCATGTCATAGCTGTTGATGATTCATCAGTATCCAGTCACATGACCCTTTTCCAGAGGAAAACAACCAGCATCAGCACCGGCTACCAGTGTAGAACATGGAGAATCGATTACAAGCGTTTCTGTAGTTTTCTTTGCTGACAGCTGTTGTGTAGTAAATTCTGCATTTGACAACGTTACAGCTGCTGACATGTGTAGGACACGAGATATTATTTGAGCGATCTGTGATAATTGCTGTTTCCAGAAGGACCTTAGCATGTCTGTGACCAGTGTACGTGAGCGTTGGTATGGATGGGAATTAAAACTGAGTCGTAGTGAAAACACTCAAGTAATCAGAGATTGTTTCAGTTTCAAAATGTTGCTCCCAAATGAAAACGTATGGATCACACTCTCTTGTCATTGCAGGGTTGTTTGTTTGCCTGTGATGTGTGTTTTTCAGGAATGTGTGTTGACGTTGCACACGCTGGTGCTTCATTATTCCTCTGTTTTTCTGTGTGCTGCAAGTGCGTTTCTTTGTGTTGCTATGTGTCATGCACGCGGTTGGCTGTGTTTTCGTAAAACGCGCGTGCCTCATTGTGTGTTTGTGTGTGTGTGTGTGTGTCAGGCTGTGAGCCCAGTATCCTTCTCACTCCCTCTGGTCTCTGCGTGGGTCTTTTCCACCAGCACTACCACCTGTTAGTGCTTTACTCAGGCCTCAGGGCTACAATGACTACAGAACCTTCCAGATTTGCTCATCAGGCCCATCAGATCGGCCGCCTTGCCTCAAATCTGGCTCCCATTTCCTATCAGAGGACCAATCTGGGCTGGAGTCCCCCGGTGTAGTCGAGCTGAGTCAAGATGGTGTGCAGCAGAAATGGTTAGAATCAAGCTGAGTTTGATTAATGACTCGTGAGCGACATTTCATCCAGGGTTCTGAACGGCTGGATCGCACTTAAGTGTTTGCTGAGTGTGGTTTCGGTGGGGAAAGAGAGGTTTGAACACTGGATTTATGAGGTCATTTTTGTTGCCCGACGCTCCACATGGGAGAACCACAACAAAGAATCTTGCATCTTCTGTTTGAGTAATAATACCAAGTTATCTGCTGACATTCTTTTTTATTATTATTCTCTTTGTATTGGACTCGAAAGTCAACAGATACAATATACAGTACATAGATCCAATATACATTGTACCAAACAAACAAAGCAAACAAGAATAAAAATCCAACTGTTTGTGTGTAGGAAAGAACATAGGAGGTTACCATACAGTTGAGGATGTATCGCATGAAATCTGCTCTGTCTGGGTTAATAAACCAAATCCAACATTTAAACAAGACTTGACCCTCAAAGAAAATAACAAAAATCATGCATCACATTAAACCAATCTGCTAATGCGGCTGATTCTTGACATAGCCACTTCTTCATAAAAGCTTTCAGTTCTAAACATGTATGATTTATGATTTAGAGAAGCATCAAACCCAAACACAGGACCTGAAAACAAAAGTCAATCCTAACTTTTTCCATGATTCTTTTTCAATAACTATGAAACCCCCGAGCAGTCCCAATATATGTGATGGTGATTTGGAGATTTATTTTAATAAAGTGTTTACTACCTAGTGACAAGAAACTAAAATCTGTAATCTCTGTATCTTATTATCAAATTCCCTTGAGTTGAATCCCAAACGACTGCAATCGTCTTTTCCCGTTTCGTGAGACCTCTGAGCTTTCTGTCCCGTTGTCTGTTTCCAATTCCCGGCTCGCTGTTTCCCTGTCAATTATTTCAGACAGTGCGGCAACCTGAAGCAAAGGCTTCATAAAAGAGAGAGGAGTGACCCAACAGTTAAAGGAAGAAGAAAAAAACAGCGATAGAAGGAAAGTAGAAAGGGATTAACTGTCAGGGAGAATGTGAAGCTAATTGAAGCCAGTTTTGCACAGCTGTTTCTTGTTGCTGTGCAGCGCTGCACGGAGCGGCTGGGAGGACGGGATCCAGATGTGATCTTGCGCGTCAATAACAATTCTCAGGAATAGCAGGCGTACAGGAGACGGGGTCTGTGAGAGTGTCTGTGCTTGCGTGTACCCTGACAAGACATCACTCCTCCACCTCTGAAAGATAACCCCGCTCGGTGCTTTTATTTGATTGCAGGCCAGCGCCTGGCTCCCGAGCGCTGTTAACACTGTTATTTTGTTATACCACCAGCCACCGCCACGACCTCTGCATTCAGGTGTCACAAGGCAGCGTAAACATTGCTCTGACACATTTGACTATTCCAAAATGGTGGCTCGCAGGTTTTGAGAGCGGTTTTGCATATTTGTCACATGGCTTTAGAATTATTCAACCAAAAGGGATTAATGCTTCTTTTGTGCATTAAAAGTGTTTCATTTAAACCGTTTAAAAAAAAAACATGTATCCTTCGCGGGGATGGCGGGATGCAGGCCCCCAGGATTGTGTGCAGGCATTTATTCGCTCCTTTGCTTTAAGTGGGGGGATATTATGTGGGAACAAAAGGACCCAGTCACTTCAGAGTTGCCTGGTGAAGAGAAAAAGAAGCAAGTGAAGGGAACTTATCACCACATTAATGCTTTTTTAATGCCCCTGTTTCTCTGTTCCCACTCCTCTTGCCTCCCCCTCCCTTCCATCATTTCCCACTTGCCCCAGACAAAGAGGAGTTAGCATTGGTTCCCCCTCTTCTCCATGCCTTCCAGGGTTACCCCAGCGCTTCTCTCTCACCTCCTGTGTCTGTCTCACGTTCGGCCTCCCTCCCTCCAGCCATCCCTCTTTGTTCCCCCGTCTTCCTTTCCTCCCTGTGTCTCTGCGGCCATTCCCTTTTTTTTTTTTTGTCTGCACTTATCTGTCTTTATCCCTTCACTCCATTCCCCACTCATCTGTCTGGGCCGCCATGCCGAGTCCAACTGCAGCTGGCTTGTCATCGCCCAGAGAAAAGCAGACGTCCAGCTGCGCCGCTGAGTTCTTGCTGAAGACTTTGACAAGATGTAGGCAATATCACACGTTTTTAAAAAATCCTTTTATATCTACTTTCCACTTCTCGCTATCGTTTTATTACAGAGGCTTCACAAGATGCCTCTCGGGAATATCTCTGCATATCAAACGATTAGTGTCTGTTTTATAGAAATACATATAAATTATCAGCAGTTATCAGTTGAGACAAATGTAACACTCATGTAAAGCATATGCAACAATTATCCAGCAACTTCTCTGACCCAGATAATCACTGCTTCACATCCTGACAGATAATGAGGAGGATGATGTGCGGCCTTGGCTTAGTCTCACTTGGTCTGACACACAAACACACTCACATGCACTGAATGTGACTCAGGATCTTAGCGGAAGCCAACATCTCTCACACGCTATTCTCCGTCACATGTCACATTTGAGTTTTATGACTTTTGTCAAGTTCACCTCATCTGTCCCATCACTGATGTCGCTCCTGCTGGGCCTTATGCTGTCAGAGAACAGGGCCTGTTACCTTCTGCTGCACACACACACACACA